TTCAGAACCCCCTCGTCGAACAAGCTGGTCATTTTCAGAAACGTGGCGTTTATCACTGCCGACTCACCCCTCCCAAGACCTTGTTCTGAGGAGAAAATTGAATTGAGTGGAAGGAACTCTTAGCTCTCCCATTTTTTTTTTTTTAGAGAATGCGGTATGGCTGGGAAGAGATGAATCGAGAGACGATTGAGAGAGACAAAGATGGAGAGAGAGACAAAGAGGAGCTGAGCGTAGAGGAAGAAGAGAGAGAAGAGAGAGAGAAGAGAGAGAGAGAGGAAGAGAGTTAGGAGAGAGATGAGGAGAGGAGACGAGAGACGAGCGAGAGCAGAGAGAGAGAGAGAGAGAGAGAGAGAGAGAGGAGAGAGCGAGAGAGAAGAGAGACAGGAGAGAGAGACAGAAAAAGGACAGCAAGAGAGAGAGGGGAGGAGAGCGAGAGATTAGACGAAAGAAGAAACAGAAGAGAGAGAGAGAGAGAGAGGCGAGAGAAGAGAGAGGGAGAGGAGATGAGGAGAGGAGAGAGAGACAGAGACAGACAGAGAGAGGAGAAGAGAGAGAAAAAAGAGAAAGAGAAAGGAGGGGGAAGGGATGAGAAGAGAGAAGGAAAGGGAGAGAGGGGAAAGGGGAGGGAAAGAGAAGAAAAGAGAGAGAAGGGAAAGAGAAGAAAGAGAGAGAGAGAGAGACTGGTGGACTTTTGAGATTTTTTTTTTATGAATGAATGCTTTTAAATAGACCGGTGGACGTAGAGGGAGTTCAGTAGAGGAAATTAAGTGATTCATAAATTTGCATTTTTATGAAGGAATAAACTTAATAGATATTTGGAGGTAGCTACACGATGACGAAGAGATAGAGAGGAAATACGAGAAGATAAGAAAACAAAATAGTAGGTTTGAACAGTAGAATTATATAGATTTTTATTTTCTTTTTTATTATATGCGTTCCTGTCTCCTACATTTGTTGAATTCTGCTTAATCAGTATTTTATCCATAACTGTGATTAAGATAGCAGAAATATGATAAAAGATAGAAGCAATAATAACGAAATTAAACAACGATGTACATTATTTCTGGTAGAATCAATAGCAATGATGATAATATCAATTATAACAATAATGACAGTCATCATTATATTGAACGTAATGGTCATTATAATCATTAAAAGATAACAACGTTTACAACAATAGTGATAATTTGTAAAACTAGCAACCAATTTTGGACTAGGAACCGTATCGACGTTTGTATTGCTCACGTATATCAATAATAAATTAAACTTTTTAAAACGTTCTTTTGGCAGATGGGGAAATGTAGTTCAATGTAGAATTTAGTATTTATAAGCTAGTCTATTACTGGATGTACACGGAGCTACTTTTTCCGCCATTGCAATGTCTTTTTGTAGCTTTTAAACTTGTTGACATTTTCGTGAAAATCTTGACTGTGTGAGTAATGGTTTGCCGGTTCTGTTGGAGTGGTTTGACTGGACATATTTACATAATACTTCACATACACAGACACGTTCACTTATATATGTGTGCGTGTATGTGAATTTTTGAGTGTGTGTGTGTGTGTGTGTGTGTGTATATATATATATATATATATATATATATATATATATATATATATATATATATATATATATATATATATATATATATATATCACAATACGATCGGAATAAAACGTGGCGGATTTAGTAAAATTTAAAAGGGGGATCCACAATTTCAAACAAGAAGATACAGAAAACACGAAAACCATAGAAATGAAAACCTAACCAAACGCAAAGGTCAAAGCCAAGGCCACTCCATCCTGGAAAAAAGTTCTCAACTAATAAGGGCATTCCTTTCGTTTCCGACCGGGCGACACTCACGTTAAATCCTAGCCTTTCCTTGATTAATCCTCTTAGTTAGACCCCGGAGGAGATGCGTCAATCCGTCAAAAACGACGCGGAATTGGATGATTAACCGTATCAAAAGCCTTAGTCAAAGCTAGACATATAACAATGGTAAGTTCGTTATTATCAAAAGCCTTCGGGATGTGGATTTTAAAAGACGTAACAGCCATTTCTGTTGATTTATTCCTTCTAAATCCAAATTGGCAATCTAACAGAATCTTGTTTTGTATGAGATAGGTATTTTTTATTCCAAAATTTACTTATTTATGGGTAACCTGATAGTATTATGTCGTTATAAATGTTGGTTTTGCAGCCTGATTTGTCAACCGGAGGAACCTTAGCCATCTTGCGTTTATCTTTCGCGAAAGAGGAACAAAACACGGGATGTGATAATGATGTTATCAATAACAACAATAGTATCAATGCTAGTAAAGATTTAAGATTTAATGGATTTAATTACTGGTGAGGTGGTGCCATCATACCCGGGAGCAGGGTTGGTCAGGTGATTCACGACCTCAGAGATGGGGATTTCGGTCACGGGATTTAAGGAAAGGTTTGTGTTGTGAGGAAGTACCATGACATTCATAAACACACACACACACACAAACGCACGCACGCACGCACAACACCCACACACAACACACATCACACACAACACACACAAAGACACACACACACAACACACAACACACACACACACACACACAACACACACACAACACACACACACACACACACACACACATCCACACACACAACACACACAAACACCACACACACAACACACACACACACACACACAATACTTAAATATCCCAAGAGCTCTTAGCATCATTAGGGAAAACCTTAGAGAGAGAGAGAAAAAAATAATAGTAAAAAAAATCTTAGATTTCCGTCCTTAATCTTCGAACGGTAAGAACGAATGAATGAGATTAAGAGACAGAAAAGAGGATGGATAGAGAAGAGGAAAGAATGTTGAGGATGTAGAGGTAAAAAAAAGAAGATAGACAGAGAAATAAAAGATGGAGCGGTTTATGATTCAATTTGAAAAAAAGCTTCCTCTTCACATTTTTTTCTTTCAATAATTCCATCCTGTCTACCGATCGTCCTATCTATTTTTACGATCTATCCACCATCACGGATTCATTGGAAAACACAAACACTCTACAGACGACAATCATGTCCACCCCCCCCCCCCCCAAAAAAAAAAGGAAAGAAAAAAAAGAAAGAAAAAAGTATATAACCTCCCC